CAGGTCGGGGGCAAGAAGCCGGAAGGCACAGCAAGAGGGACTGGAGTGACACCAGAAGAGGTGACTTATGCAGGGCTGGATCAGTCCAGGCTGAATCAGGGAAGACGCAAAAGACAGGACAACGCTACGCAATATCAGGAGACAGAATATGCCAGCGTCAATATTAGAAAATAGGAGTACTGTGACCTTTGACCTTGGAAGGAATTTGAATGAAAACTGAGTGCAGTCAGCCCTTCTGGACACCTATTTTTGTTTCAGTTCTGTTTCAGTTCTGTTCCAGGGTTGATGAAAGAGAGGTTGTGTCTTATTATAGCTCACCCCAGTCTGCTGTGAAATAATTATAATAAGAGCTTCCCGAGTCTACAGAGAATTACTTTAAAGAGCATTAATTCTCGTATTCTTTCTGTGTATTAGGAGTGCTGCAACAAGAGATTAAGAGATTAAAAGACAAGGTTATTGAAATCAGGGGTCGGCATGGCAGTGAAGTGATTAGCACTGCTGTCTCGTGGCCCTGAGGCCTTGAGGCTCCGGGGCCACCTCCTGGCATGCTGTCTGTGTGGGGTTTCTGTGTTCTCCTCGTGTCCCAGTGGATGTTGTCGGGGTGCTCTGGTTTTCCTGGATATTCTGGAGGGATTTATTGGTTTCAGGAGAAACTGGCCCTGTGTGAGTGTGCGTGTGTCTGTATCTGTGAGTGCCCTGCAAAACGCCTTGCATTTCTTTTACGCAAATTCAGTGCTTATTCAGATCAGCTTGGCTGTAGTCCTGCAAACTCATAAGTAACTTTAATTGAGAAAAGGGAAGATTTCTGTCGTCCCGTGTGTTCTCACCCTGCGCCTCCACATTATCGCTTGCTGACTGGAGCAGACTGCAGTCTGTCTCGAGCACAGCTGGAGAGAGCAACCAGCCGCCACTGTCTGTATATTTCATGTCGTTTCTTATCAACTGTCTGCTGTAAATAAAGCTAAGTGTGAATTCATCACTGTTGGGGTGTTTGTTAGAAAAGTCCAGAGAGATCACGGAATACTGCAGTAAAGTCCAATGAGATCATGGTGTACTGCGATAAGACCAGAGAGATCATGGTATACTGCAATAAGACCAGAGAGATCATGATATAAAGCGATAAGATCAGAGAAATCATGGTATAGTGTAATAAAGACCTGAGAGATTAATGTATACTGCAATAAAGACCAGAGAAATAAGGATGACCTGCAATAAAGTTCAGAGAGATGAGGTCCTGTTCATGGGTGAGTCTTTAGTCCTATTCCTGGTTGTCTGGTCCTCTGTCTGGAGCTGTAGGCCTGTATATGGGGCTCTAGTCCTTTTCTTGTCCTCTGATCTTCTGCACCATGACTGAGGGGTGGAGTTTCACACCACAGGAAGTAAGAGTATTGCAACAGTCTGGCACTGACTGCAGGCAGGGTTGTGAAACAACGAGTCTGGTCACGTGACAAGCACACACACAGAACACCAGTCCATCACACATGGACAACAGGACGTTGATAATTGCTGGGTGCAAGCTGATTTTCTCCGGGGAGAATTCCTATTTTTAGCTAATGCTCTGTACTTCCTTAAACCATTGTCATGAAAAACAGAACGTTTCTGAATGTGTGAAAATAAACTGCCAGAAACCGCAATGCCCCAGACTGGGGAAACACCTAAGGAGATCAGCAGTGCAGCTGGAAACAGGGCATGACCTCTGACCTTTGACACAGGAATCTGGTCCTGACCTTCCTCATTACTGGCAGACAGGTGGTACAAATCCTTTGCCTAAAAACGTTGATGGAAATAAACCAAGATAGAAACACTTACAGTAAGTAAGGGTGGGTTTTTCTTGGAGCCCAATGAGGAAGTGACTGACAGCTGGCAGTTATTTTAATGTAATGTGTTTTTATGTGAAGTGTCAAATGTATCATCTTAGGGGAAATAGTAAAGATGGTCACACCTCTCTCTCATGTACTGCATTCGTGTAAGAGCTTGCAGAGCTGCAGTAGTTTGAACTTCTTAATGCTCCCGATCATGACCTGTTGCTGTCCCCAGCTGTCCTTACCTGCTGTCCACACGTGGGTCATGGGGTCCCAGTCACTTTCAGGCCATGGGGTACGCCAATCGAGGAGATGTCTCAATGAGGAGATCCCTAATCCACCTGGGGGCTGCATGTGACCTTGCAACTATTCATCTGCTTCACTAAAGGAACAATGATCCCCCTGTATACCCAATCCCTGATCACTATGTACACTTCATCACTGATCACTGTTTCCATCCCATCACTGATCACTATGAACACTTCATCACTGATCACTGTGTCCACCCAATCACTGATCACTGTGTCCACCTTATCACTGATTAGTGTGTACACCCCATCAGTGATCAATATGTCCACCTCATCATTGATCACTGTGCCCATCTCATCAATGATTACTGTGTACACCCCATCAATGATTACGGTGTCCACCACATCATTGATCACTTTGTACATCTCATCACTGATCACTCTGTACGCTCTGATCACTGCTAATGTTATACACAGGCAGAGGAGTCTTCTAGCAGGTATTGACTGTGGAATGAAGGAATATCAGACACAGGAGTCAGTCAACAACGATAAGTATCTTCCCCCTTTACTTCTGAGACAATATGATTACATTACATCACCATGTTTTTACAGAACTGCATTAACTTCACATAAAAAGTAACATTGCACTGTCTACAACACAATACCACAAGAGGAAGCTTTATGAACATAAAACTTTTCTTACTTTTTGTTATTTTCAATTCCAGCAGTTTAGCCTGAGCAGTTCCAGGAAGTAAAGTGCTCTTAACGCTTCTCTCATATTCAGAGCCTATTTGCAAAGGTGGTTGATAGTCTAGTGCAGAGTCAACTTATGGTGTTGACAGTCTGAACAGGTATGGATTCATGCTGAAGGTCATCCAATTCACTGGACAGGTGTCCAATGTTGGGTCATAGTGGAGAATGGTGGTTCACTCTCCACTCCCTCCATAGGGTGCTGGTGTGGATTCATGGCAGAGGTCAACAGTCTGGACAGGTATGGATTCAATGTGGAGGTCAACAGTCTGGAGAGGTGTAGATTCATGGTGGTGGTCAATGCCCTGGACAGGTGTGGATTCATAGTGGTGGTCGATGGTGTGGATTCATGGTGGTCGTTGATGGTCTGGACAGGTGTGGATTTATGGTGGAGATCAGTGGTCTGGACAGGTGTAGATTTATGGTGGAAGTCAATGGGTGGGTGTGTTGTCAGTGGAGGCTGATGATCTGGCATCGTATCTCTTTGTGGTAGAGGTCAATGGTCAGACATGATGTCAATTTGCAGTGTAGCTCAACAGTGCAGATTGTAAATCGTTTGCTTGACAGAGCACTTAATTGAACTTTCACTTAATTGAATTGATCACTGTACCTATAGTATACTACTTGGTAATTGTCAAGCCTGAAAACCACTATTACCATAATTGCCCTGTAGGTGGCAGCAGATGCAAACCACAGCAAGCACCAAGCACTCAACTTCTCTGAGTCAGTAAGTCAGTACTACTTGTGCCTCAAGTCCATATCTCTCTCTTTCTATGGCTACCTTAAGAAGAAGTCTATAAAGGGAAGTTACTGTAAGTCATGCATATCCTATTATTATATTGCAAGCAACAGCAGACATTGTTTCTGGCTTTGTGCTTTCTGTTATTGCTCTTAATGGTGAGGCTTGTTCAGTCACTGAGCCCTGGGCTCCAGCCCTACTCTTCCCACAATCTCTGGGCTCCAGGGGCCTGTGGCAGAAATGGTCTGTATGTGTGAAGAGCACTGTGGGCCACCCTCGCCCCCATGGCACAGAGCCCGGAGCTCACCCAGCCTGTCCTTCAGAGGTCCCAGGAGAGTTGGTGCAGCACCTCATCTGGGCCACCTCCTCCTGTGGCCCTGACATCCTGTCCACACAGTCTCAGAGACACAGTTCTGCGCCATCTCCTTTCCAGCTCTCGTCCTGTGAAGTTTCTCCTAGACAGCCCAGTCCTTCATTGTGGTGTGGCATCCAGGATTGGTCACAATAGTCAAAATATTGTCTCTTTAGAGCCTTGCATAGTTAGAACACGTGTTTCAGGACTTCTGTCCCCAAGGCCTTAGCCATTAATTGTAACAATCTGTCCAATGCAGAGCCAAGTCCACGTCATCTGAGGTCCAGGTCAGACACAAGGATCACAACAGGGAAAGATCATTAAGCTGTCCCTGGTCTTCAAGAAAGTTTCATGCTTTGGCGACTACAGTTAGAGTTTCTACCCTGCTGGTAGAACAGTTCATAATTTCTGTCTGCTCAAGGGAATGCTAGTCTGGCAACACAGTATTGTTCACAAGAGCACAACAGAACAGAGATATGGTAAGAGAGGAGACAACAGAAATTCTTTGAATAATAAACACACACAACAGGGCAGAAGACACAGTGAGAGAGAAGACAAGAGAAATTCTTTCAATAACAAACACACACAACAGGGCAGAAGACACA